GAGAAGTGAAAAATGAGAGAAAGGATGTGGCTGAAGATATAAAAGATGAAGAAATAGAGAAAAGGAGGCGAAAGAAGAACATGGAGACAAAACAGCTGTGTGCAAGAAGAGAGAAAAATGTTTCTGAGGGAATTGCCATTACATTATTTTAGTTTGTATTAATTCAGCCCCATCCTCTCTAACTCTACCTTGAAGCTGAATAGAATCTAACAGGTGTATAGTGGGAGATAGGGTTTCAGAAATGGATTTTATGGGGATTTCTGGTCTTGGAGGCCTACCTAGCTATAGACTTGTGGTAATTGTCTCTAGGCATTTAAAAATTAATGTAGACTCCATTGAATCAAAAGATGTCCATATTCCCTATGATTCAGAAAATGCTCCCAACCTCATTGGCACTTTGTTGCTTTGAATACTATGAGGCTTTAAGCCAAGGATGCCCTTTTCTGGTATCTCAGGAACAAGTGGGACCTGAAGGAGCCCATTTAGGCTTCCTCTTCTACTCTCATAAGCTGGGTCTTTGTCATCTAAGCTGGCTGACAGGACGTAGTGAGTGAGAAGCAAGGGTGTGCGAGAAGGCGGAAGGCTACAGAGAGGGGGGAGAGGAAGGAAGGGTGGAAGAGACTTCTTCCTATTTGGCTTCCAGAGCAGAAATCACAGTGTACAACCTGGGACAATCCTTCTCAGGAGAGATAGTCAAGAACTGGAAGTATCCCACCCAAATTAGTGATGCAAATGATTTTCCTGTAATACTTGGGACAGCCAGCTGTGTTTACCTAAATTTCCTAAATAGGAATGAGTTACTATTCTTCTCATGGGCAGTGGTACTGAATGTACTATTTCCTGTGATGAGGAGTGGTAGTGACTGCTATAGTAGAATACCTAAAGAGGGTCAGAATGTGTGCAGTTCCTCCATGTAAGAGGTGGAAAAGACCTCATCTTCACTCAAGGAACATGAGTCAGGCAGAATGCCAGAATCATTTCTGCTTTATTTTCCCTAGTATCTTAATTACATAAAAAACAAAAAAACAAAAAACCACTGCTATCGCATCAACTCCAACTCATAGCAACCCTATAGGACACAGTAGAACTGCACCTTAGGGTTGCCAAATAGACTGCAAGCAGACTGCCTCATCTTTCTCCCGTGGAGCAGCTGGTGGTTTCCAAGCACTGACTATTTTCTTTTTTTTTTTTTAACCCAGTGGTGCCATAACATAAATGCTACAAATGTGTGGCTTTTAAGAACAGATAATTATTTTCTCACAGTTTAGAAAAGCCTTTCTTTGTCTATTTCAGTTTCTAGTAACTGCCAGCAAGCCTTGTCTGTTGCTCTTGGTGACCCTTGGTTCCTTGGCATTCCTTGGCTAGATGAGTCTCACCTGGTGTCTGTCTTTTCCCAGTGTGTCTCTGTGTCTATTAGGGTCTTTTTTTACTCAGAAGTGATTAGGTTTAGGATCTACCCCACATTGGTATGACCTCATACACATAACAAAAATAAATTCCATTTCCAAACAGGAAAACATCCATAG